CTAAATCTAGGTATACCGTAAATACCTTAGAAAAACACACATCGAGACTCTAATATGTCAGGACTTGTTTAATCATCTTCTTATCATATACCCTTTATGAATTACCTAGCAACCGCATAGTTATCATAATATTTAGACGCAGAAAACATTATCAGACAAAATCATGTCCCCCGAGGAACATTCCCACTACCCCCAACCAAAAAAGGGGACCTGGGGGCGGAGCCCCCAGCGAGCCAAAGGCGAGTTACTATTTATAGGCTTAAATAAAATGGTGAAGTTTTTTACTGCCTGAACATTTTGAGTTTTATAAAGAATATTGGACAACCTTATTTTGTGAAATGTGATATTATGGGCAATTCTCATTCAAAAACATACTGTTTTTCTTAATAAATTTACCATCCATTATTACCATCTATCTATATATATAATACGCTAAGCCGATTTTTGTAAACATAACTCCTCCCTCATTTTTGGACCGATTTTGATGATTAAAGTGTCAAAAGAATGGCCCTGATCTGTAGTTATGCAAAGTGTTTTTATTTTTTGGAAATCTTTATTAGTTCGGGCTGGATCTTCCATCAAAGTTGGGGGTTCTCCCGTAAGATTAACATAGGGGAATCTAAATATTTAATTGGAAACTTTGTCTCCACTAATTTAAGAGAACGACTGGGCGTAGAAACTTAGTAGAGGTGTCCAAAGAAATGTCTTGGTCTGTAGATGAGTTATCAAAAGAAAAACGAAGTAAATTCCCTTAGGGCTCTGCCCCAGAAGCCTTTAAAAGATACCTCCACAGATTTGTTTACATTTTGGCCATGTGGATAATACTTTTTAATTAAACAGCTGTTCATTTTTAAATAGTATTTTAAACAACACACATATTTATTGAGAGCTACTGAATTGTCCAAAGGAAGTATTTGCAATGTTATTTTCTTGAACTCTTAGAGAGCCTTTGAATGTTATTAGGCTGACGAAAAAGCGTTGTGCATGTTTACTAGCGCTACTCAGCAACAAAAATAATTTAATTTATCTCTAAAAAATATATTCTTAAAGTGCATTGAGCAGCAGTCTAAAAAATACTATGTAACTTTCTCATATAGTTACAAAATGCTCAAACTCGCATTGTGACATTCATTTATGAATCGGCTTATATTTCTCCAACAGTTATTCATCTGCAGAAGAAGTTCAGTGTGCTCTTATCGTGTCTAATAACATCCAAACACAAAAACCTTGCCTAAAATGGTACCTATCTTGACACATTATTTGCAGTGGCCTATATTACGGACCCACCCTTTCACCCTCCAAAAACGCCATACTTTCAAAAGTTGGTAAATTTCTTTCAAGTTGTTGATGGCTTTCACTACTTTTTTCAACCTAAGTATTTTTTTGGCAAATATAATTAATGCTTTGTATTCTCCTTAGTTTACTTTAAATTTTACTCATTGTATGGTTTTTCGTAACTTTACTCCTTGACCCACAAAACTTAATTTTAATGTCAAAATTTGAAACGTTTTACCATTTTTACGAGACTAGTTCAGTTTCAATGTTATTCTTATGGGAAATAAGCTTGAAAGTCGCTGACTTCAGTGTTCGTTTCTTAACCATTTAGAAACGTGATAAAGACTTGAAATTTGGCAAGGATATAGATAGTGGCCTTGAATTACCGCAACAATTTGTAGAACTAAAATTTCAAATTTAAACCACCCCAAAAATCCAAAATGGTGGACATCTTAACTCGACTAAAAACTTTTTTTTAAACGGCTATAACTCAAACACTGTAAGAGGTAGCATGGATTTGAATAAATTTTATGGTTAGGAATTAAATTTTCTACAAAACCCTCTGAGGCGTTTTCATCCCTTCACCCCTAAATAAGGCATTGCTTTGAAAAATTGGTAAATTTCACTTAAATCTAAAAGCTGTTTTGCAAAAATTTCCCCCTAATAGCTAAATGGTAAACTATAGCTCATTTTATTGTTTTATTATCAGAAACCAATTATGTTAAACCAATGAAGGTTGGGATATTATTTCAGAAAAATATGTAGTGGGGTGGGATAGCTAAAAATTATACTAAAATATTTCACATCTGGCAACCAATGCACCCCTTTGGATTCAGATAGTACATGAGTGTCTACTCATGGAGTCTAACAAGTCCGAGACACAAATTTTTCTGGTACTCTATGGGTGTTGATGACGTAATCAATATGGCCTCCAAAGTTGTGTGACGTACTTCTACATTTCCCTATATAACTCGGGTTAATATTTTAATATGGGTCGCCGGAATTTTATCCCCCTGGAATTTTACTCCCTGGGAAATGCTGACGTCACTATGACGTAGTAGAGTGAAAATTTAAAAACGTACGTTTTCATGTCCCTGGCCTTTTACTTCGTAGCTACTGGATTTGTAGTTTATTATTATGTGTTTTAATGTTTTTTGGGATGGGGGCAACATGTTACACACATTTATTTGGTTTTAAATAGGTTCTAGGTATTTTTTTCGTATTTTTAAAGTCTCGAAATTCACGACCATGACGTGTCCCTAGGGTACATTTTCCAACTTTCACGCTGTTTTTAGACTAATTATTCATGCAGAAATATATAAAGCCATATTTTTATGTCATCAATGGTTATTAAACTTACAAAAAAGGAGCATATTATAATTTTATTGTCATTGCAAACTGACTACCATGACATAATAAGTCTGTCCCTCGATTTGGCGTCACGACCATTTGGGAAAATTTTTCAACTTTGGAGCACGACAGTGGCAAGCCTGGCGTTGATGGAGTCAGTTGGTTTTAGAGACTAGTTCGGGGTGTACGTCAGGATTGTAGTGCCGGTCGTTTCGAGTTGAAAGGAGGAATTACAAGATTAATACAGGAAAGGTTGTGTTTTTTGTAATTTTGGTGTGTCCATGACCGTACATAGTCATTCGATGAAGTAGACATGGTGTTAATTTTTGTTTATAAGATATTTCAATTGCTAGATTAACCTAGAAGTCCACTTTGTATCCTCGAACATGAGGTGCAGAGCTACCGCCAGAACAGAGCCAAATAACACGTAATTTCTCGACCAAAGTTTCACGACCATCGCGGGTTTTTTCACGACCTATCCAGCCTTATGGATTATAGTGTGTTTGGTTGTGACAATAACTTTAATATAATTGTAATTTGAACAGTTTAGTTCAATTGAAACACATATTTTTATTATAACTAACAGTATAATTAAAGGATTGTTTAGAAAGATTTAGATTTTTTTATAAAATTCACGACCGTACCGCTTGTCCCTGACCATCACGTTTATGATTTCTGTCATAAAAATTTCAAAAATTAAAATATCGTCATATTTTAATGTTTTATACACAAAAGAAGCACGCCTCTATGCAAACATAACGATTTTTCGGGTCTCAGGTAAGTTTTTTCGGAGTTATACAAACTTAAAAAGATATTATTGGCTTTTTTCAATTTTTTTGAGTTTTTTTATTTTTTTCTAGAAAGACCAAATATACTAAAAGCTCAGGGACCTTTTTAATGTATAATGGTCATAAAAGTAAATTAGTTTATAGCAAAACATAGTTATAAAAATAATATTAACTATTTTTAATATTCATTTAAACGTCTGTTATGGTTGTGACAGGATTTTGTGTTTTTCCACTAAAGATGCTCTTTTAAAAAAAAACTACCAAAGATATTGCGTTACCATGGACATTTTATGAAACTTCAAATGTTAATGAAATCAAAAAAATAATAAAAGTTTTGAAAAAAGAGGAAAAAAATTTGCAAAGTGTGTTTCCTGAAAACGTACGTTTTTAAATTTTCACTCAGTAACCTGAGTGGCCAAAAGTTTGTTCGCGGCCGGAATTTTACCCCCGCGGATTTGGAAGTCTAATGAAAATAGTCAGAGCGTGATTAATTAGATAAGCGATAAAAACCGGAATTTTACCCCCTGTCCATATAACTAGCGTTTAGACAACTGGAGATGTACGGGCCGGATTTTTACCCCCTGGAATTTTACCTCCAGATTTTTACCCCCCGGAATTTTACCCCCTGGCCGATTTTAGAAATTGAATGATTGATTTTCTTATTTCTGTTTTTAATTAATTGTAAACATGCCATTATTTAGTAGCCTATCTTTATTGGATTTTGATTATAATATAACTGCTATCAGTGCATCCAACTGTTATGTTGTAATTATATCTGGAAAATTATTAGAGTATGATATAATTAAAAATGATATAACTGAAATAAAATAAAACTACTTACTAAATTTGAAACACAATTGGATACTTTTGTAGAATTTTACTAAAACATAATAACATTCAGACTAAGAACTGATGAGTTATTTGTTTACTTAACAGTATTTAGAAAAAAATGGCTGGTTACAAGAATATTGTTTCTAATCAGTTGGGGCTGAAAGAAAACCCTATTGGATTACATGCACTGTCTCTTTTTACATCCATAGTATGTAATGTATAGTTTTTACTTAGCACATTGGAACATTATTCTCCACTTATTTGTCACTTCCAAAATATCAGAGCATTGGTGTTCACAATATTTTTTCTTTTAATATCTTTTTGAAAATTATAAATCCCATCAGCCCATCTCTACAAAGTGTCTCCTCATTTCCTGTTTAAAACAAATTTTCAATTTTTCCTGTTTAAATTTACTTCACAAACAACATGATAACTATTAAAACCGAGACAATTCATACATTTAACAATCAAAAGAGCCAACAATCTAGTTAGGATCTAAAAGGGTTTTAACATAAAAAATAAGTTTTTGATATATTTTAGTGATTAGAAAATATTAAATACATTAAAGTACAGTATTATTTTTGGACTGTACGATTAACTTTAACTTACATACAGAAATGTTCAAACCTGTCGTACACAAGACTGACAATATCATTATAAAAACAATGAGACATAGTTAGTGTATTTGTTACTACAATTACATTTGGTCCATGTGGTTTTGATGAGGGATTGACTGGTTCATTTAGATCAGTTGAGAACTCACTTCACTTAGATCATCATCAATTTGATCTTTCACGTAAGTATTGTTCTCGAGATAACTTTTTTCTTGCATGCGTAAAGTTTACAAAAGTAACACATAGTTGGCTCTAATTAACTTTTCCTACTATTTTAATCAATATTTTAATATTTCCATAAACCATTTACATGATAATTTATAGAATGTTTTTTTTAGTGTCATTTTAATTTTTCTTCAGATCATAAATAATTTTTCAAATTTACTAGAGAAGATAGATTTTTGGACTCGGTTTGCTTCAAGAGACTTGTGACAAAACTGAATAAAAAATTATTCATCTCTCCTTTCCTTTATGCAACTCATATTGGCTACTGTACAGTGTACATGGCATCACAATTTTTGTTGGGACAGATAACAAAATTTGGAGAATACAAGAACATTAAAGAAATACAAGAAGTCATTAAAGAATTGAAATATAAGAGATCATACAAAATTTTTTTTATTTTTATCATTTTTAAGTTACATTGTTTGTATGTCTTTAAAACTATTCAGCCCATTTAGAAGGACAATAAAACAGATGTGTTTTGTTACTATAATACTAGTTGGAAAATATAGGGTGTCCCGTAAGTAAACAGCCAAACTCCGGGAAATTATTCTATGGTTCAAGATAAAGAGAAAATCAAGAATACATTTTTTTCCCAAAATCCCTTCGTTAACCAAATATCCGCCTTTTTGTTTTTTTCACATTAACATTTTTATCTTAAAAGTTTTTCAACCGATCATTTTCAAATTTTGCATGTATGTTAAGGTAAAGGAGACCCACGTTAGAAAAAAAAATTATCTTGATTCATCTTAAGATTTTAAAATGGCGGCCATTTCAATTTTTTAAACGTAAATTACTAAACAAATGGCTGATTTTATGAAAAAATGCCAAGAACACTTTTATTTAGAATTTTTTATTTCCTATCAAACAACAACAAGTTCAAAAAGATCGATTAAGAAATAGCTGAAATATTACGACTTTTAGTTGTAAAATGTGGCAAACCTGGCTAGCTTATCCTTTTTCTACCCCATTTTACAACTAAAAATCATAATATTTCAGCTATTTCTTAATCGATCTTTTTTAACCTGGTATCGTTTGATAGGGAATAAAAAATGCTAAATGAATGTGTTCTATGCATTTTCATAAAATCAGCAATTTTTTAGTAATTTAAGTTTAAAAATTGAAATGGCCGCCATTTTGAAATCTTAAGACGAATCAAGATAATTTTTTTTTCTAAAATTGATCTTTTTTACTTTAATCTACATACCAAGTTTTATAAATATCGGTTGAAAAACTTTTAAGATAAAAATGTTAATGTGAAAAAAATGGCGGATATCTGGTTAACGAAGCGATTTTGGAAAAAATGTTATTCTTGATTTTAGCTTTATTTTGACCCATAGAATCATTTCCCTGAGTTTGACTGTTTACTTACGGGACAACCTGTATACAGTTCTAAAAAGCTACCACTGCCAAAAAACATTCCAAAATGAAACCAACACATTATAAAAAAGATTAATTTATAAGAAATCTTCCTATATCACTACAAGAGCTTACTCAATAGATTGCTAAGGGAAATAAAATTAATAGTTATTTGTGTAACAACTGTAGTAGGCTAAGTGGCACTTTGGTGCACATGATAAAAATGTTTATGCATGAGCCGCAGGCGAGTGTGGAAAGTTTCTCGAGTTGAACGAAAATAGAATGTTAACATGAAACTAACAGGTTAAGTCGTAGTATTAATACTCAAAGACTGTGAAACACTGCACCAACTGATCGAAGTCATAGTTTCTTTTTCAGCAACCAACAATAAAAACCATTTGCAATTTGATATGTGGGTGCTATGAGACACGTAAAAATATTCCATCCATAAAATCAATTCATAACTTTGTGGGAAAGAATAAATTCATTTTAATCAGACAATTTAAATGTCTTGAACCTAAAATCCAGTCTCCCACATTTCTAATTCATGCGGGAGTACCTTTTTATTTCAACTAAAAATAGGCTTTACCTTCGTCACTGCAGCTCAAATTCTTTTCGTGTAACATAGTTTCAGATACATAGATCGGAGGAGAGGAGAATGGCATCCCCGATGTTGAGAATGACACTAGCCCAAGATGTTAAAAAATCCTCCACGGCCATGGAAAACATTGATTATATCACAGTGATAGGAGGAAACGAAGATGATGTCTCCCCGATCGCGCAAGATGTTTACTATTCCTCCGGGGCCTCATGAGCCGTTCATGATGCAAAACATGGATTTTAATTTTTATTTCAACTTGTTCAAGCTATATAACAATATTGAAGGCTAAAAACTCCGTTTTGCAGTGGAAACACATTTAAGACCACTGAGTGGAACAATTTATACTCTTCTAGACAGTATAACAGATATAATACTATTTTCTTTGAAGAGTTAAACAGTTCCGGTAAAATTTAAATTTAAAGGTAATTAACTATGTTAGCGATTTCCTGGGTTTAACCCAATATAAATCAATATCTTCATAAATGTCCTTAAAAGCAATGAAACCCAATACGCAGGGTCATATTTGCCTAATCGCGGTTGCCTGGGGCCTCATCAGCCATTTACACTTGGGGCTTAAAATTATTTTTCTTAGTAAATTTATTTGACCAATAATCCGGGATAACGCGACTGTGGGAAACGTTCATGAAATATCCACGATCACAAGAGATCAATATTTCGCCGTTAACGTAGGAGTTGTCGCTATTCATCCGCAATCGTGGTAGATGTCCAGGATTTTATCACGACCGCAGGAGTTGAGATTATGTCCCCGCAAACTTGGAAGATCTTCACAATTTCTCCACGATCGAAGGAGACGAGTATGACGTCCCCGCGCTCGCGCACGTTGTTAACTATTTCTCCGCGACCGCAGGAGTGGTTCATGATTTCGCCGCGATTGGAGGAGACGAAGATGATGTTCGTCTCACCAGCCCAAGATTTTTCCTATTTTTCCGTGGCCACAGAACACTTTCATGATTCAGCCGCGATCGGAGGAGAGGAGAATGGCATCCCCGATGTTGAGAATGACACTAGCCCAAGATGTTAAAAAATCCTCCACGGCCATGGAAAACATTGATTATATCACAGTGATAGGAGGAAACGAAGATGATGTCTCCCCGATCGCGCAAGATGTTTACTATTCCTCCGGGGCCTCATGAGCCGTTCATGATTCCGCTGAGATCGGAGAAAACGATGATGACGTCTTCGTATTTATGCTAGAAGTTAATTATTTCTCTGCGGCCATAGGAGAGGTTGATGATTTCACCATAATCGGAGGATACGAAGATGATGTCTTCGCGATCGTGCATGATGTTCACTATTTTTCTGTGAACGTTAGCACGTATTGTAAGCATTTTTGGGTTCACGATCCCTCTGAAACCGCGGGAGACATTGACGATTTTACTGACCAATATGTCCGTGATTACAGAAAACTGATGTTGTTTAAGCTGAATATCAATTAATATATTTTACATTAATTATTATATTTTCAAACCACCCGATTTTGATCCAATGCCTGAAGCTCAAAATTTTTTACTCAACCCGAAAGAAATTTAAAGAGTCTGGCCCCAATCAGACACTTTAAATTAGACCTCTAATATTATTATTTCGAAAATTAATAGACTTATTTATTAGCTAGTCCCCCAGGTCTATTTGCCAATCGGGTTGTTGGAAACAAAAGGTCAATTCCTCGAGTTGAATCAATACAACATCACATGTATTTACAAACCCATAAGTTCCAACCTTCGAAGAATCAGAATATAGAGGGACCTCTCTGGCGGAAGCCGTCGGGAGCTTCATAGGCTCTAAATGCGGCCCTGCCGGGGAGCGAGCTGGTCTAGTGGTTAGAGCGCGGGATTTCAGTCCCTGAGGTCCCGGGTTCAAATCCCGCCAAGTCACCAATGGATGTTATCCAAGTGATAATGCTACAACCCCTAGGTCTAGCCTGAAGTAATGTGAAAAACAATGCCGGGCTCGTATCTACCATCTTGGGACAAAAAAAAAAAAAAAAAAAAAAAAAAAAAAATACGGCCCTGCCAATACGGCTACAGAATTATTATTCCTCAGGGTTGGCTGAGGAGGCGTATTAGAGAATTATCCAGCGTGCTAAACCCAGTTATCATCATTATAGTCTCCAATAGAGCCACTTCTCACATCATCTTTCATAATTCTAAATAGATGGACCTCCAGTTTTAGGTGAAGCATTACTATCACAAAGCTATAAAATTCTTTGTCGATTGCCAGGATTTGAACTTGGGTCTCCATGACAGAAAGCCCGTGGTCTTACAACAAATAGACCAGCGATGATAAACTTCCCATCCAGTATGATAAACTTGGCTCTGTATAACAATTACACATGCACCATCTACCACATCACTCACTGTTTCATAAAATTTGTTTGGAATACCAAGAGTTGCAAATATACAGTAACATTTCCAGGGGAAATATCAGGGTGGACTCCGTTTTCAGGCTTTACATTTTACCTGGTAAGAGAGTGCATCTCCCCCCTCCCCCTAAATTAAATCCTACCTAAAACTGCTACTGCTAACACTGTTTATGTATTCTCCAGGTACAAGACATGTATTCATTTGCTTCAGTTCTTATTTTCATTGTGGTCGTACTGGTTGCCAACAAACCTGCTAGTGGAGGCTTGTAAGTGTATTTCTAATCATTTACTGTTAGGTCCATGAATTTGTTAGCTCTGTATAACAACTTAAACTTTGTGTAAATCTAAAGGCTCCTCACATAGCCAAGCCGTTGTATCACTGCCATGTGCTTTGTTTATACAGCATTGAAAATGGTGGAGGATTAAAATCTTGCTGAGTGTGGAGTTTTAAGATTTTTTTGGTTTGGTTACAAAAAGATGTTATCCAGAGTTTTGTAATCTGAGTAGAGTTCATGCCTAGAGACAATTCATCGAGTTCCATTTAAGACTTTTTGAGACTCCAAAAGATACTTGTTTTGCAATACTGGGTGAAATGGAATGAAGCTATCAAGTATTGAGTTAGAAACACCAGGGTAAAATGATCAATAATATTTCAGTAAGGATGTTACAGCATCTTAAATCAAGAAATAAAGGTATAAGAAAACTAATGTAACAACCACAAAAGTATAAGCTGAAATGTGTATAACGAAGTTAATGCCCATGCTAGTTGTCACTGTATAGAAAGAAACAACCAACTCTTAAGCTGCACAACTATCACATAGAATGGAATCTTAACTTGATAGAGTGGAATCTTGTTTAAATTACAACCGCAGTTACAAGTGCACATTTAAAACGTAATTGAAAACGTCGTAACTCATAATGTATAACATAGATAGTATTGTCAAAGTGTTGTTACAATATTAAATTAACCTCTATAAAATGATTATTTCTATTAAAACAACCTCCATAACGCATATTTTCTGAATCACAATGAAACTCAGAACATCTGACATGTCCTGAAAACAACCTTGATAACACGACTATACAAAACTGTATTAAACAGTTCCCATGAGAATCCACTAGAACAGATGTTTTGGAAAAACATTGTCTATTCAGATTAAGACTCAGGTACTAGAACAAATCTTAATCTAGACTTGTAACCCCCATTCCACATGACTCTTTTGTTGATAATATAATATATCTTCACACAAAAAATAGACGCAAGTGTTGATGATCGAACATATCTTTTATATACAAACTGTGTTTTTTTTGTGCCACCTTTACATCCTAGGACGATAGTTCTAGCCCGGAACTGTTTTACACATTACTATATTAGAAGTGTTGCTCTAAGATCAATACAGCAACTAAATTATAAAGATGGCCAATGCTTTCATTAAGTCTGATAACATGACTGCTTCTCAAAATTACCTTGGTAACACAACCCTTAGCAAGAAAAGCACATCTAAAAAAAAATCATACCCTAATCTCCTTGAAACACTTCTTATCCTTCTATCGTATGTGCAATTGGTTACCTACATATAATATTTGGTTTGAATTTTTCAAATTTTGAGCAAAGAACAGATTTTTGTAGAGATTCTATTAATACTAAGTATGTTAAAATATACTGATTAGAAACATTTTTTTAAGATATGCCACAAGGCTTACATTTACATTATTTTGCTTCATAAGACCTTAAGACAATCAATTCATGATTATCAATTAAATGAAAGGCTGGTCATCCAATAAAAAAATTGTCATTATTAACTTTTAAATACTTATAAAACCAAACATTAAGCTAAATATAATTATAGTGATTATATTGTATTTGATACGTAGTTCCTACAACTGGAGACATTTAAAATCAGAAATAAAAATAAATAATGGTTCAATTATTTTAACCACTCTTGATCTCTGTCAGTTGAATTGATTTGACATTCTACTGATGTAAATAAATAAGATATTCCCAAGTTTCACCTACATAATCTTCCTTCTGTTTTAGGGATGGAGCCTTGAAGTTCTTAAAGTCGACATTATCTATTTTTTCAAAGAACCAGGGAACTTGTTCTAAGGACGGAACCGATATTGCATCTCTGATGTTACAGTCAGTTTACACAACAGCACAAGAAAAAGACTGCAAACTTGCCAATCCAAACCATTATCCACCCAACTATTCACCAGAAAATGAAGAAAGCTTTGACTTCATCATAGTTGGAGCTGGCTCGGCAGGGGCTGTGATTGCCAATCGATTGACAGAAAATTCTAAATGGAAAGTTTTGCTAGTAGAGGCCGGTGGAAATCCTTCAAGAACTGTTGAAGTCCCCGCTCTGTTTTCTGCTTTACAACTGTCTCCAGAAGATTGGAAATATAAAACCTCCAATGAAGAGGATAATTGTAAAGGTTTCAAAGGCAATAATTGTAACTGGCCTCGCGGCAAGGTTTTAGGTGGGTCGAGTTCAATAAACGCTTTACTTTATGTCCGAGGAAATAATAGAGATTATGATAAATGGGCTGCCGCTGGAAATGGTGGCTGGGCCTATGAAGATGTGCTACCTTATTTCAAAAAGTCTGAAGATCTTCATGCTCAAGAAGTGCTTGATACACCTGATTACAAGAAGTACCACGGCACAGGAGGGCTATTGGGTGTAGGGTCGTGGAACAATAGTGAGCTGGACCCGGTCAAAAATGCATTTAAAGATGGAATGGCTGAGTTGGGATACGGTTTCAGTCCTGATCCCAGTGGTAAATCACAAATGGGATATGCTATACTCCAAGGAACACTCACAAGAGACGGCAGACGCTCCCATACTGCTAAAGCTTTCCTTTCTCCTGTTCGGGACCGAACAAATTTAAAAGTGGCAAAAAATTCTTTAGTCACTAAAATATTAGTTGATCCAAAATCAAAGTGTGCTTATGGGGTGCAATTCAAAGATAAAAACGGAAAACATGTTGAGGTAAAGGCAGAAAAAGAAGTGATATTGTCAGCAGGAAGCATTAATTCACCACAACTTCTAATGCTGTCAGGAATAGGACAATCAGAACAACTCAAACAACACTCTATAGACATAATACAGGATCTACCAGGTGTTGGTGAAAATCTCCAAGATCATCAATTATTTGTCGGTCTGGTTTTTAGATATACAAACTTCTCTAAAATTGACAAGCCTTTTGTTGAAGACATGGCTGAATTCTTATTTGAGAATTCTGGGAGGTACATTAACACCGGGCTTCTTGGAAGTTCTGGTTTTATCAGCACAGTTAATGATACTAAATACCCAGATATACAGATTCATCGGTTTGATTTTGCTCAAAGTATGTTTGCTCAGCTGGCAAGTATATATTTTGATTTCAATTTCAGACCCTTAGTTGCAGCTGAATACGCGACCCTCAACTTAAACGCATTTACAAGCATAGAGATGTTGACTCTTTTAAATCCACAAAGTAGGGGGAGAATTTCTTTGAAAACCGCTAATCCAGAAGACCACCCAAAAATACTGTGTGGTTATTTGACAGGCCAAGAAGATATAGATACTCTTTTGCGGGGTATTGATTTTGTAAACAAGCTGGCAAAAACTGAAGGTTTAAAGAGAGTGGGTGCTGAGTTACATGAGATTACACCGATCGCTTGCAAACTTTACACAAAATACTCGAGAGAACGGAGGATTTGCAATCTGAGGCATTTGACCTCCACTATCTACCACCCTGTAGGTACATGCAAGATGGGTCCGAGATCTGACCCTATGGCTGTAGTAGACAATAGGCTGCGTGTCCACGGCATCAAGAACCTACGCGTATGTGATGCCTCCATTATGCCAACCATCGTAAGTGGAAACACTAATGCCCCGACCATCATGATTGGAGAAAAGGCATCAGACATGATCAAAGAGGATTGGTAAAACATCATTATTATGTGGAAGTTGAGTTATTTAAAGTTAATAAACTATTTAAAAATATGATTGAAAAATGTTTATTTTTTGACTGCAACAGAAGATGAATCAATGTATTTACAGTTTAAGACAAAAGAGTTAGGAGGGTTGGTAATCAAAATCAGTCAAATTAAAACAGTTATAAATTAATATATTTTACAGTTATATAATGGTCTTAGGTTTCAAGCAATGGCACTCTTAGATCACACATGAAAGCATAATTAGAACACACGTAGCACTTGGTAAATGATGACCAAATACTATCTGAAAAAGAGAAAATACTTATTAAATCAAAACTTAATGTGAAGCTGTTAATCACTAATTCTAATGTTTAGTTAGTTAAGTGTTCATTTTTATGTAAAATTTAAAAATAAACCACTAATATTTATAGGTTCTATCAAGCAATTTATACATACTGTATCTAAGATTAAAGGCTGGCATGAAACTACTGAGTAAATACTGAGTATTTATTAGGCAGATAAAATGAGTATATGTATATTTTAAAACAAATATACATAAGTCATCTAAGGTATATAGTTCAAGATCCTCTGAACAATCTACAGTGTTTTTTATGGATATATGACAAAGAAATTTCAATATTACTCAAAGTGATTTTCTCAATTAACTAAAAATTTTACACAACAAGTCAATTGAGATGTCATTATTATTTGTATATAATGATAGTAAAGTATAAAGTACATTTTGCACCATGACCTGAGAGTAATATTTAGGAAACTTAAAAGTTTTTAATAGGTTTTCAGGTTAGAGAATGTTAAATAGATTCAAGTGTGAATGCTGTTTTTTATAACTCTATAAATTTAAAACTCTATTAATACAAATTATAACTTGTTAGTTTGCCAAAAACAGTTAACCAACAGAAAATTCATTTGTAACACCATGTTGTGTTTTGGTTGGTAAGCAACAACAATATGAACTTGGTAGTTGCCCTTGATTGTAGTTTGAACCTATTAAATTAACCATAGTAGTTCAAAGGCAGACTAATCATGGGATAGTAGGGGGGGGGGGGGGTCATGCTGCTTAGATTGTGTAAAGATAGTCTCAAAGGCTAATTACACAAGGTGCGTAGTGCGTACACTACTTTACCTACGACTGTTTTTTAATAACTAACAATCACAACTCATAACGTCTAAGAGACGTTATGTTTTTGATTATAACCTCTCACTGCCACTGATTGCGATGCAACAACCTTATTTTCCTAACCACTCACTCATTGTATAATCAATTAAATTCGCCTTAACAGTTGATAAGTTGACGTCCGAAGTACAGTAGAGCGTCGAAAATCCAAACGTCAAAAATCTTAACCCCTCCTGAGGGTTTAAAGGGGAGATCCCACTGAAAATAGTAAAAAATCTCAAAAAAATTGGAATTTTGTTTTTTGTACTAGATTTTTATTTAGATGTTTCTCTATAGGAAAAAACACAACAATTTGATGTAAACATACATATTTCATGGAAAAATTTCAAGTTGAACGTTAACTACTTTTGTTACAAATCCGATAAAAGTTATTCATACATCTTGTTTGGAGTTCTAAAAGTGGTATTTTAATTTATTTTGAGATAGTGAGCGTGAGTAGAAATGTCTAGAGTGCCTAAAGTGTCTATTGTTGTTTGTGTGTGTTTCAAAAACAAGAAATCTGCCAGTGCAAGGTGGAAAACAAATAACCCAACATGTATGGTAACTGAAAACGTGTGATTACTGAAAGTATAAAAATCCATGAGTTAGTTTACTAAAAGTGTTAAGGCTCAAAAAGTATTATAGATACAGCAGTCAAACTTTGCATGCTTGCTCTTTACATATACAGGGACAATGTTATGCATGGGTTTTCAATTATCTAAATTAGTTTAAACATAGCTTTAAATTAGTTTGTCATTATTTTTAATTTTTTTTTGTTTTCATTATTTTTAATTTTTTTGTAATATTATAAAAAAATTTCAAATTTTCTTTTATTTTGAGAAATTATAGAGATAATTTCAAACTAATGCATAATTTTGTTTGCATAAGTATACTCTTTTAAATGACACTTTAATCATGTATCTACTACTTGTAGTTATAGCACACTTATGGTAATTAGCCTGAGCAATTCTTGTGAAAGCCTGCAAATTTTGTAAAAAATTGGTGGGTGAGGGGGGGGGGGGGTTAGTTTACAAGTGGTAAAAAATTGTCACATTGTTTCAGGTAGATTTATTCTCGATAATGAAAATGAAAATTTAACAAAATAATACATAACTTAGTTAGAAAATTTTTATTTTCAGCGGGACCTCCCCTTAAAATATTGAATTAGCACAGAGACAACAGTTGTTTTACAATAATTTCGCAGGCCAAATAGTCAGCGCCCGGCGGGGAAATTTGTGAACATGCCAAGCAAGTCAGTGTTTTGTTAGTTTCTTATGTATAACATTTGTTCAAGAAAGGAATTACAGTAATGTAGCTACCGAAAATACCTAAGTACAAAAACCATTGTTTTTGTTTCATTTACTGTATCCTAGAACTGTATTTTTAATACTGTAGTCCTAATTATAGGTCTATAAGCATTTCTAGGTTATGTTTGAAAATACTCTGAACTACGTAAGGTCCTAATTGGTTCGGATTTTGACGCCCTACTGTATTACGATTTTACTTCTGTTCTCTCAATTCTCAAACCTCATTGGTCCAAACTTGTACTGTAAAGTAACAAAACAATACTGTAAGTAAACAATACTTACTGGTAAAGCAAGCAATACTGGTAAGTGCATTTTTCAATTATAAGAACTGAATTGAAAAGTCCAGTTTAAAAAACGGTCCTAGGTAAAATCATTTTACCTACGACCGTTTTTTAAAGTAGCCGTTTCAGTACAGTTCTTAGAATTGAAAAGTATCTCATAACAGCATTGTTTACTTTCATAACAGCATAGTTTTACTCATAACAACACGGGTAACGGACAATGAGGTTCTAGGATTGAGAGAGTAGAAGTAAAATTGTAATAATTTGAAATTCAACTAATCAGCTGTTCAGGCCAATTTAATAGTTGATTGGTGCAATTAGTGTTTGATACAATGTTTCGTTGGATCATTGTCAGTGGCAATGAGAGGTTATAAACGAAAACATAGCCTCTTTTAGAAGTTATGAGTAGTTATTTTTAGTAATTAAAACAATGTCGTAGGTAAAGTAGTGTACGCAACTCGCGTAAATAGTGTTAACGACACTCGTAGAAGTTTTTAAGGCACTCGCCTTTTTCTACTTGTGTCTTTAACACTATCTTACGCAATCGTTGCGTAAACTACTATAACAGCACATTCCAAAAACAGCTGATAGCATCTTAGTTGTCAACAAAAATCAAAGTGCTTTCTCCTTTTAACAAGAAAAGTAATACTTGTAGGGGGTCTTGCATGTTTCAATACATATATTATTACTAATTAACATACCTATTCTCTAAACAGGACTTAAATTACTCATGTATAGATTCTTGAGCTCTACTTTTGGAGTGTTCTCAAAGAGTGCAGCCCTGTTTTGTCCTTCACCTTTCTTTACCCAGTGGCCGTAAACTCGGAAGGCACATGCATCAATCACCTAAAAATAAGCAAACACGGAATTAACTTAAAATTAATAGATGTAATAGTATCTGAGGACACTATGCTGGTGGTATCTAGCCAACCCCCAGATTCCTCTTCTTCTTCGATCTGCTTTCTACGACCAGCATACTTCTTCTTTTGCTGGCACTCCTTTCTTCTTCGCTTTCCTTCTTCCCTTCTCCCTTCATTTTGCTTCTTTTTCAGCTGAACCTTAATGGTGTTAAGCGAGTTGTGCCGAAGAGATGAATGACCCTCCAGGATACCAGGCAACCTCTTGGAGTAACAAGCCTTTCTCGAGCATGTAGGGCTCTGCCTAAGCTCGAACTTCAGCCTTGTGTGGGAATCCTTTATAACTCTTGGGAACTTTGGTTTCTAGAAAACCCTAATAAAAAAGCAAACCTTGAAGCATCCCCAGAAATTGCATCTGAGAACTGACATTAAAATGTGATTTTAAGCTATTTTTTTTCTTCAGAATAAGAAGAAATCAGCAGATGTAGGGAGCGATCCGCAATGTCCCTACAAATCCTGTCCAAAAGCTGGAAAATTTTTTTCCCCTTAAATCCTACATGTTTGGTCTTGATCAACTCTAGTTGGCTCAAAAAAATTTATCTGGAATGGTTTTTTTTCTTTTAAGATGATAATATTATGATTTTAAGCCCAGATAAGATTACTTATGGCCCAGTTGATCCGCTTCCAGATTAAGGGCCGGTTTCCGAGCTCTGGATCTATAGGTTCTGGACTTATTGAGTCTAGAACTTAAAGCAAGAAACTGAGGGAATCGTAGAGTATTTGGTGTTGTGATGTTGGCAGTGGGTGATAGCCGGCTGTGCCGTCTGTTCCCCACCTCGTTAACAATAGATTAGTAAAATTTTAATGTTAACTGTTATTATAATCATTGCTATCCTACATTAACGTTCTTGTTTATGTTAGGTGTATTTGAATAATGTATGTATGATAAGGTCTTGTTACAAACTTCTGAGCTAAAAGTCCAAAACAACTTGTTTGTAGTTTTTAAATAACATTTATATTTAACATTTTTAAATCGTTCATTATTTTGAATCGTTCAGTATAGGCTAATATTTATTTCAAAACCATTCATTTGTAATTTTGGTTCTGAATGAAGTAAGTTAAAATACATTTTTATTCTAAAAAATAAAAATGAAACAGCACTACCAGATGCGTAATAAAGCTCAAGGACCTAAAATATCAAGATGGAGTTATAAAGATGAAGTTTGATTTATTCAAACAATCTCATATACCGGGTGTCCCATAAAACTCCCTGCTGGTTAATTTTTGAACGGCTGCATATATTCAAACAAGCTTTGATACACGTTACTAGGGTAATGTAAAGTACTCTTTGGTGGTATTTTGAAATTCACTTAAGATTTTTACGACAGCACCTATCAAGTAGCACATTATTTTAAGGAGCTTTAAAAAAGGAATTTAATTCAACAAAATTTACTTTGATACGACAAGTTTTCAAAAAGTTATGGTAAGAAATGTTAGACGTTAATTTAACTGGAACGTTACATTCCACCACTTTTATTTTTTCATGACTGTAAATTTTCAAATAACCTTTAGTAAACGTTACCAGAATGATGTCACGCACCTTTTAACATGGTTTTGAATTTCATCACCCACCCCCAAATCGGGGTTGCTAGTGGGATTTTGATTTTTTTTAAATACCAACCCCTATTTGGGGACTGGTGATGAAATTCAAAACCATGTTAAAAGGTGCGTGACATCACCCTGGTCACTGTAATTAAGGTTATTTGAAAATAATTTAGAGTCATGAAAAAAATAAAGTGATGGAATGTAAAGTTCCAGCTAAATTAACATCCCAGGAACTACCATAATCCAAATTATCTAGGTATTCCATGATAACCATGCTCATAGACCGACTTCAAAACAACAACTGAGGCGTTTATACACAGTTAAGTTTAGGATCTAATAATAAATCCTGCTCTTAGCAAGGATCTAAAATCATACTGTTTAAGATCATAGATTTAACGAATTATGCTAAATCCTCGACTCGGAAAGAGACGAGAATCTAAGTTAAGTCCTGGATCTATAGATCCTTCACTCGGAAAGTCAAATTTTAAACTCTAGAGTCTAACCAGCCAAATAAACTCCAGAGTCTATTAAGTTCTGGACTTCGCTAACGCCCTGATTCGGAAAGTAATTTTGTTGACTCCAGAGACCAAAGACGGTTTAAGTCTAGAACTTAACTAAATCCCGAGCTCGGAAACCGGCCCTAAGGTTTTACTGTACTTTCACAGTCTTCTCATATTACGACTACCTTTGTGTAGCAACTGAAGTTTTCAACATTTTTTAAAAAGTGTCCCAGCAAAACTCAGGTCAGAAACTTTGATAGAGCCAGAAAAAAAATGTACATATTAATTATTTTACTGTCCTCGAACAACTGTGATAATTGCAACAAAGCATTTTGAGGAAAAAAAACCTAAATTATAACAGTGTTAAGCTTAAAGAATTAGGAGTTGCTAGGCCTACATGATTTTAATATTTTAAGCAAATATTTTCAAATACAGTAGACTCGACAATCATGCACGAGTGGATTAACCACGATCGCAAGAAATAAGAATAGAAAAATATACTATGCAAGTTAGATGCACATTATTACAGCAACAATTAAGAAGTTTAGCCTGAGGATGCACACTATCTCGTGGGCAGACTAGACTCCATCAAAGAGCCACCGATTACAACAAATGAGTAGATTAGTTATGGTTAGTGTGTGTTTTTTTAATTATCAGGCCTAAACATAGGCTCTCCTGTATTATTTGTTAAATGAATAGAATGTGTGAAACAAAGTTAAAATGTATCTACACTGCATTTAAAATGTTTTATTAATACCTAAACCAATATTAAAGCTTAGTTATACATTCAAAGTCAACATTAGTTATTTCTCGGGGGGTAAGTGAGGTTTGCATTATCCACAATCACTCATTATTGTGGATAATCCGGAGTCTACTGTACCATCATACCAAATTTATATCTTTTCCTCGCATACTAGAGTAGTATCAGGACCATGTACGTCCTACTACTTGTTTAAACTCCATATAAAATTATGTCAAAACTACAACATATAACTTTTGGCTATTTTTCCGGGTACAACATTTTTTTATTTCTGTGGTTATTTTTTTACGTGACTCAACCATTTTACCAACCCCAACAATCCATAAATATGTTGCTAAATGTTAGTACATTAATTTAATAAACGGTATCAGCATTCTGACACATACTTTCTCCCATAAGTTTGTCAACAACCTTTATCATGTGTCAGTAGTGAGAGTAAATATACGCAAATGGGATTTGTACAATTTTGTTCAGAATTTAAAGGACTATAACATGCTAAATTTTATCAAAATCGTTCGGGCCATTTTTGGGAAATCCGATTGTTCTGTTATTTTATGGGGGTTTTATGGGAAAATGACATAATTTACAATAACTTTTGAACCATAATTTTTACAGAAATGGGATTTGTACCATTTTGTTCAGAATATAAAGGACTATAGGCCTAACATACTAAATTTTTATCAAAATCGTTCGGGCCATTTTTGGGAAAATCATATTTTTCCGTTATTTTATGGGGTTTTATGGGAAAATTCCCATTAAAAATAAAAATTTCTAAAAAATTTAAAAAGACTATCAAAACTGTAAGGACTATAACATACAATGTTAAATCAAAGCTGGATTTTTTTCTGTAATCCTATTTTTCATTTTTTATGGGGTTTTTATGGGAAAATAACATATTTGACCATAACTTTTGAACCATAATTTTTACAGATATGGGATTTGTACCATTTTATTCAGAATTGAAAGGGCTACAACATACTAAATTTTTATCAAAATCGTTAGGGCCTTTTTTGAGAAAATTTGATTTTTCCAGTTTTTTATGGGTTTTTATGGGAAAATCCCCATTAAAAATAAAAATTTCAAAAAAATGAAAAAAACGCCTGGAGATACCATGGATTAGAACCTACATACCAAATTTTATCGAAATCGGACCACAGGTGTGGTCTCTAGCTCTGTACACATCCAGACACACAGACACACACACACACACACACACACACACACCCACACAGATATCACTTCGAAAACCACTTTTTTGGGTCCAGGGGGACCCAAAACGAATATATCCACTCAAAACTCAAACTCGAAAATTTTGACGAAAACAATACTTTCTCCATATACTATGGTATAGGGGAGAAAGTAAAAATTGATTTAATCATCAATAAACATTGACAGTAAGTGGTAACAAAATCATACAACGTAAAGATCCTAGCCAATATTTGGGATGAAAAAAAAACGTTCATTAAAAGTTGAAGCCATAACAGGGTTATTTATTTTATTTTTTTCCTAGGACGCTAGGCACGAGCCTGGGATTGTTTTTCACATTACTTCAGGCTAGACCTAGGGGTTGCGGCATTATCACTTAGATAAAATCCATTGGTGACTTGGCAGGGATCGAACCCGGGACCTCAGGGACTGAAGTCCCGCGCTCTAACCACTACGCCAGCTCGCTCCCCCATAACAGGGTTATTGGACTGTTTGGTTAAGCTACAAGACAGACTACTTACTTTCCTGAGAACCTTGATCTTGTAAGGATCACCTCTACTACACTCCACAGACAGGGGTTCTGGGGTATACCTCAGTCGACTGATCCGCACCACTGCTCGGACAACCATTATGGCGTAGTGGAACTTCTTCCTAGCATCAAACGATGATGCCTTCAACTCCTACATAGAAGGACCACATGTTTTATTAAAGGAGCAATACCAATTCATCACACAAAATTGCAGAAAGTAAAAATTAACTATTTCATCACAAATCACAACTCATTCACCTAAGTGACAACTACTTCCTGTTGTTTTCTCATTTTCAAACAAAGCATATGCTTGAAAATGCAAATACTTAGCATATAAATTTTACCATACAGGTTAATGTCAGCATGGTCTTCAAATGTGACGTTTTTAGTAACCAGAACTCTGTCTATGATCAAAAGATACAGATGGGCTTTAGACATTGACAGTACTTTCTGGTTGTTTAAGCTTTCTGCATACAATACAGTTCATCAACTTTCATACCTGAATATCTCTCTGCTATCCCTTACGTCTTAGTAACAATTGTGCACCTGTGGCTGAGTTGACGAGTATTTCTTACCTTATATTTAACAGTAGCGGTTTTGTCAGTTATTTTTTCAATTTATCATTACAGCTTCAAAACAGAAAAAGGAGGTGGTTTGAATGAAAGTCAAACTTAAATTTTATTTGGTCAAACTTAAAGCCAAATAGGTTTAATAGTGGGGAATATTGTTTGATGATATTTCATATGCTTACAATGGTGTTTGTATTACTTTCTATGCTATACAACCTTTTGCCTGCAGTTTGGGTCAGATTTAATCAAAACTCTACTATAATAATGCTTGTTAAATAAAAGCTAATTTTAATGGACTTATGACAGAATTAGAAATTAGGATTATCACAAAGGTGAGTTGAGGATAAAAAAACTTACCAAGGCAAGTTGAGATATACGACTGAGTCTTCGAGAACTAGTGCCCAAACTCTTCTTAAGAGGGGCAATGTCCTGGTCCCACAACTGTAAACCAACAAAACATGTAGAAAACATCCGTGACACAGGGGGTTCACGATCATTAACACTTTCAAGGGTTTGTTTTTGTAAATAAATTTTTTATCTGAAGAATTTTAAAAAATCTCTTGGTTTTTAGAGGGGAAGGGGATTATTCAAACTGTGTACTGGTTACGAACTCAACCCTCATTCAAAATTCAAAGATAATTTATGACAAAAACATGTTGTTCAATACTATTTACCAAACCTGTTTCCTTATCTTCCTTCTTAGAGATATGCAAGCAACTTACTGTTTGCAATAAGCCGAGCCTATCTTAAAATTATAATGTACTTTGAAAAGAGTTTTGACAAATACTTTTATTGCCGTATATGATTTACATTCTGTTATATATGTTATAATTCAAAGTTATTTATCATGTACTTAACATTGTAACGTACAATGTTCTTTTGATGTTGATGAAAACATAGTACCAGTGGTGAAACCGCCAAGAAGGGTACCTTATGCCTTAATGAGTAAACTGAAGTCAAAACTTAACGAGTTAGAAGGTGATGGAATAATTTCTAAAGTAAATAAACCCGAAAACTGGGTAAGTAACTTGGTACTTGGTAGTAATCAAGAAAGCAAATGGTTCTTTAAGATTATGTCTAGATTGTTCAGATCTTAACAAGGCTATAAGGCGTGAGCATTTTTTGATTCCCTCATACAATGAGATTGTTGCAAAACTTTGCAAGTAATTACTTGATTTTTCATCTAGGCTTAAGTGGTAAAAACTGTCTTTTATGTCTATTACAGTGAAAAATTTCTTACAAGCTAGTTAGCCTAGATGAAAAATCAAGTAATTACTTGTATTTTAAATACTGGTTTGGATTGTATGAATTCAATAAAAAATCAAATAAAAAAAACAAATAAAAATAAAAAAACAAAAAGTAAAATAAATAAGATTTAAGTCTTCCACCAAAACATTCAACATTTGAGCTCTAGAATTGATATCTTAGAAATGACAATTGATGAAATTTGTCCACACATAATAATTTTAACAGAACACGATGTTAAAAACAATGAGATGTCACGAATAAACATAAAAAACTATCAAATTAATGCTTTCCACTCCAGGCAAAATACAAATAAAGGTGGGGTTCTTATTCTTTCTCAAACTAATATTGAGTGGAAGCAGGTGGTTTTCCCTCAATTATTTTATGACCAACTCTTAGAAGATAAAGTGTTTGAATTCTGTGCTGCTAGTTACAGTATTAGGAATTATAAATTTGTAGTTGTAGGATTGTATAGATCCCCTGCTTCTGATACTGTTACTTTTTTAAATAGACTAGACATTTTGATAGATTTTATAAGCAAAAAATATGACTCAATAATAATAGGAGGTGACATAAATAGTAATGTTTTGAAAAATAATAGAAATTATAGATTATTGACAGAAATTATTATAAGTATGCTATATAATATAATGCTATGTGTTATTTGGTAGATTTTCCCACCCCCCCCCCCCCAGATTTTCCCAGTAGACAACACAAAAACTGCTATTGACAATTTTTTTTTTTAAAAATATAAATAAGTCTTACATGGTGGTAGAAGGAATCATAACATGTCTATCTGACCACGACGGTAAAATTTTGTCAATTATTGTTCCGAATCAACAACAAAAAAAGAAACAACCTGTTAAAATGGAGATGCGAAAATTTTCTCCTGAAAACATTAGTAATTTTTCAAATATATTAAGGAAAGAATCGTGGGAAGATGTGTATTTTGCCCCTGTTGAATTTAAATATGGTTTGTTTTACAATACTTTTAATTACCTTTTCAATCAAGCTTTTCTTAAAACTATAATCACTTTTAAAAACAATAATAAAAATTGGGCTACTAAAGGCATCAGAAGTACAAATACTAAAATTTTTCAATTAACAAGAGTAATTAGAAGAACTAGGAACTCTAAGTTATCAAAATTATGTAAAAAATTGAAATGTAACCTCAAGCATATGTTAGTGAAATCAAAAAGCGAACATTTTGAAAAGAAAATTAATAACTCAATTAATGTACAAAAAACTGTGTGGGGTCTGATTAACCCAGAGGTCGGGGATAAGCCCAGAAACAGAGTCAATAATGTTCAGTTAAATATTGAAGGCAAGAAAGTATCCAATCCAAAAATTTTGTCTAATTATTTTAATGACTATTTTTCTAGTATAGTTAAGGACAGTAATCCAAATGTTAATGCTTTGAATATTCAAAATAACTCAAAATGTAAAAGTATAGCAGATAGACTACTTAAACCTATGTTCTGTTTTACTCCTGTAAACAGTGATGAGGTGGAAAAAATCATTACCTCATTGAAAAGTACGAAGTCGAGTGGGTATGATGAGGTCCCAGTAACTGTGTTGAAGGAAGTGAAAAGGGATATCAGTAAAATTCTTAGTCACCTGATCAATTCTTCATTTATGACTGGTTCATATCCAACTAAATTTTAAAAATCTAAAATTATCCCGGTACCAAAAAAGGTGATGCTTCAGATGTAAACAACTATCGTCCAATATCTCTGCTTCCATCTTTATCTAAAGTTTATGAGAAAATAGTTTCAATCCAGTTAATTAATTATTTAGAAAAATACAATTTATTGGATGATATTCAACACGGCTTTAGATTTGGTAGATCAGTTGTTAGTGCCGCAGTCTCATTTGTGGAATCTGAAATTGAGTCTGTTGACCAAGGAAAATTTACAACTGGCATTTTTTTGGACTTGTCTAAAGCCTTTGACAGTGTAAAGCACTAAATTTGATTACAAAAATTACAATCTTTAGGAATATCGAAAAATTCTCTAAATTGGTTTCAGTAATATCTTAGTGACCGCAGTCAGTATGTCGAAGTAACGTTTCTATCAAACTCAAATAAACTTATTAGTATATCTTCAGAAACTCGCCCTGTTAAATTTGGCGTCCCACAAGGTTCAATTTTCAATTTTTTTCAGAAAAAAATTTTTGTTTAAGAGAATTGCTTAAAAAGAATGTGATATTTCAATGGTTGCCAGTCCATCAGAGTGTTTTGGATGAGTTAAAGAAATGAATCGCTGAAGCTCCAGTGCTTGAAAATTTTGACGATAAGAAAGAATTAACTATCTATTGTGACAGTTCAAAAAATGGAACAGGGTGTTGTCTTATGGTTGATAATCAGCCTATGGCTTTTGCAAGTAGAAGTTTAACAGAAACTGAGAGTAACTTTTCGCAGGTCGAAAAAGAAATGTTAGCGATTGTACATGCATCAAAAGTTCCATTTTTACATTTACGGTAGACCAACTAAAATACTAACAGATTGTAAACCTTTGGTAGGTTTGATGAGTAAAAATGTTATAAATGTGTCTTCACCGAGGTTACAAATAATGAAAATTGAGTTAATGAAGTATGATATTAGGCTTGAGTATTTACAATGTAAAAAAATGTTTTAATCGGAGCTTGGACATGAAATTTGAAATTTTTCTTTTGTGTTTTGTTGTTACCGTACTTAGTTATAAAACATTGATGATACAAAATAAAATATGAAATGGGTATGTTTCGAAAGAGACTACTGCAGTGGATCGAGAGCTTAAAACCAAGGTTTACTTACAACAAGTTGAAAGAAAGGATGTTGCAAAGCTTGTCTGACAGTGAGTCGGTTGGCAGGTTCTACAACGAGCAGCTTACGGATCAAATCCTTGGGCTCCTCTAGAAATTAAAACTGAATATAGTTCATATAGACTATAAATTTCTTTTACAATTTCCTTAAAAAAAAAACCAAACGTTTCAAAAATTAATTTAAAAGCATTGTGGCTTTCAATACTACAAATTGACTAAAGAGAAATCAATGAGGTGGTCATCCCGCGATGCTTTCGCTGCCACGGGTTCGGTCACTCTTCCTGAAACTGTAAGGGAAGAATCCTCCTGTTCAAGAGAAGAATTACTTCCGTTGTGGTGGTTTGGGCCATAATAGAAAAAACTGCGCAGTAGTAGTCCGCCGTTTCCTCTGTGCAGAGAAAGGCCAAAATGACGGCTCATTAGGTCATATTCCTGGGATTGGGCAATGCAGTATTTTTCAGCCTGTGCTCGACTTTGAAAAGCCAAGTCTCGAAAGTGAAGATTCTCCAGGGTAATCTTGAGAGTTCCAGGACAGCTGGTCCAGGAAATTTCCGCAGATATCCTACTAATCAGCGAGCAGTACTTGCCTACCATTACATGTATTAACTGAATAAACAACATTTGACTATTAACACTTACATCTAAGCTTGAGATTATAATGGAATTTACCTGTAATATCTGTCCACTCTGGGGAAGTGAAGGAGTATTTTCCATCCATTATGTTACGAAGCATCACCATTTGCTTGCGGTGCCAAAACGGGGGACAACCAACCAATCTATAACAAAAGTAGACTCATAAGAATCAATAATTTGTAAAAAGGTTAAGGCTATAATAAAGCGCACAGGTATTAAGGATCTTTGTTTGTATAGCAGGCTTAAATGAATGCGAAAGAGTCCACTGAGGCATAAAAAACTTTACAATTTACATTAATCATAAAAGTTAAGATATTTCACTGTAACTAACAGGATTTTGAACAGAGAGGCAACAACAGGTCAATATCTGTCACTTTTGAGAGTTGACAGTTGAGTTTTAATGGGAGTCCCATTAAAATGGTTTCAATCTTATTTGGATGGTCGGATGCAATTTGTTGAAATAAAAAAAATCAAACAAAAACAATTATTTAACTACATTTAACTCTCATAAACGTAGAATTAAGTGGGGGGTGCCACAGGGTTCAATTTTGGGACCAATTTTGTTTTTATGTTATATAAAAGAATTGCCTAAAAGTATTGTTAATCCTCAAAAGAGTAAGATTTGTTTATATGCAGATGATTCAAATTTAACAGTGGCGGGGAAAAGTAAGGAGGAGTTGGAAATTTCGGCCTTTGTAGAATTGTATAATATACAACAATTTCTAAAAAATAATAATTTGATTCTTAATACAACAAAAACAAACTTTATGTCCTTTTCGACTAAACAAAGTAAACAGAAACTTGAACCCAATTTGATCATTGATTCAGAATCAATAGAACAACTTTCTGAATCCAAACTTTTAGGTCTCTATGTAGATGAACATCTAAGTTGGAATAAACACGTTGAAAAATTATTAAAAAAGCTTAATTCTGGAGTGTACGCATTGAAAAGAATGTCTTATTTGTGCAATTTAGATGCACTTAAAAAAATATATTTTGCTCTTATTCATTCTCACATAAACTATGGCATTGGACTATATGGGGCAACTACGTTTAAAAATTTAAATAAAATTCTAATCATGCAAGAAAAAGCCATTAGAACTATGTTACACCTTAAAAAAGATGAATCAGTTAAATCTCACTTTAAAAATCTAAATATTTTAACAGTTTTTGCAGCGTATACTTTTGAAATAGCATGTATAGCTAAAAGAGACAGCCTAAAATATGAGCCAGTTGTGCCACATAGTTACAATACAAGACATAAAAAGGATATTGTAACTTCAACCTATAAGCTGGAATTCTAAAAAAAAAAACCAACTTTTGCTGGATCACTAATTCTAAGGAAATTGCCTGCCTCTATAAAGGAGGAATCAAATTATAAATTATTTAAATCTAAATTAAAAAAACATTTAATAGGAAAGGCGCCTTATACAATGGAGGAACTCATTGAATAAATACCTATTCATACTTAAAATGTATTTATATCTTTAAGCTAGTTTAGTACTTTATACTTGACACTATTTTAGTATCCATGTACATGTAAGGAAAATAAAGATGTTTTGATTTGATTTGATTTGACAATAAACTGAGCTGGTGAGAAGCTTCGTAGATAGGAGGCGAGTTGAGTTACTGTCAACATAACAACAACAGTTGTATGCCAATGCACACCTTATATGCTGCTTGAGTAGCTTAGTAGGAGATTTAAGTTACTGTGTAGCTGTAGTCAACATAACCAAAAGAGTTGTATGCCACTGCACAACTTATACGCTGCTTGAGTGGCTTAGTAGGCGATTTGAGTTACTGAGTAGCTGTAGTCAACATAACCAAAAGAGTTGTATGCCACTGCACAACTTATACGCTGCTTGAGTGGCTTAGTAGGCGATTTGAGTTACTGAGTAGCTGTAGTCAACATAACCAAAAGAGTTGTATGCCACTGCACAACTTATACGCTGCTTGAGTGGCTTAGTAGGCGATTTGAGTTACTGAGTAGCTGTAGTCAACATAACCAAAAGAGTTGTATGCCAATGCACACCTTATATGCTGCTTGAGTGGCTTAGTAGGCGATTTGAGTTACTGAGTAGCTGTAGTCAACATAACCAAAAGAGTTGTATGCCACTGCACAACTTATACGCTGCTTGAGTAGCTGTAGGCGATTTGAGTTACTGTCAACACAACCACAACAGTTGTATGCCATTGCACACCTTATATGCTGCTTGAGTAGCTTAGTAGGAGATTTAAGTTACTGTGTAGCTGTAGTCAACATAACCAAAAGAGTTGTATGCCACTGCACAACTTATACGCTGCTTGAGTGGCTTAGTAGGCGATTTGAGTTACTGAGTAGCTGTAGTCAACATAACCAAAAGAGTTGTAAGCCACTGCACAACTTATACGCTGCTTGAGTAGCTGTAGGCGATTTGAGTTACTGTCAACATAACAACAACAGTTGTGTGCCAATGCACACCTTATATGCTGCTTGAGTGGCTTAGTAGGCGATTTGAGTTACTGAGTAGCTGTAGTCAACACTTTTTTTTGCGCTCAAGATGGCCGCCTGTTTGGTTCTAGTGTGAATTGTGCTCCCATTAAACTGCTTATTTCCTATGCTTAACTCACTCGTATGTTCTTCACATATATTGCATTGTTTCTGCTTGGAGCCGTGAGTTCTATGTGGCCTTCCGTCTTTATAAATAACAAATCTAACAGCTATTAATAAACATCTAATCTAATTCACTACTGAATTTGAATTAACAGGATTAAACAATCTCAATCAGATCTGTCATTCTGTCAACCACCTGTATGTCACTCTTGTCAGTCAACGTCAAACGTCACTAACACCGATTCGTTTCGTCTGGTCGGCAGCTCAAAATCATATGTCAATGAATCTATGAAACTTTTTTTTCTACTGCCATCTTGATCAATAGTTGTTGTTACTACAAAGAGTACTATATACAATACCTACCAACAAACAGATTTAAGGATTTGTCTTCTCCGCTTGCATCTGTATTGGCACGGACTTATCTGTTTCAAATTGGTCTTAAGAAGCTATACTATACAAAAATCAAATCACCATGATGAACATTGAAGGAGCATGTATTGTTTGTATGAAAAAGGTAATGGATGATGAAAAAGCCATAGGTTGTGACAGTTACTGTGAACGATGGTTTCACATTGATTGTATAAAGATGCCACCTGCTGAGTATGCAAAGTTTGCGGGAAATAAGAAACTGAAATGGAACTCCAACCGGGTTGATTGCGATGAGGCTATCAAGGGTCCTATGGTTCAATTAATAACGCAAATTGATGAACTCACAGGGAAGATGGATCAGCTTATTAAGAAAGTCGATTCACTCAAGAATGACGATATTGTACCTATACATGAGGACATAAAGGATCTTAGTGTTAAGATTTCTGCTCTTAAACCTAGACTTGCTGCCTCTGGAGACTAGGATTTCTGCCCTGGAGGAGAGTTTAAATACGATGAGCACTTCTGGTGGTCATACTAATACGGAATGTCTCATTGGTGAGCTTAATGACAGGTCTCAGCGAGCTGCTAATATTCTGGTACACAATTTGAAGGAACCCACTGGTGCATCCCCTAAGGAAAGGCAAGACCAAGACAACCAACATATTAAAAATATAGTCTCGGCCTTGGATGTCGATCTTGATACTGGCCGGATAAGATCTTATAGGCTTGGGAAATTCGTACGTGGCAAGGTTCGCCCTCTTAAAGTTGTGTTTGGATCAGCTAATGATGCAAAAACATTCAACATAAAGTACTCTCAGGACGTTGTATCTACTCTTGATGCTGCATATGAGGGCCTGTCTATAGGAAGAGATCGTACGGTAAAGGAATGTGAGTACCTGAAGAAAATTAGGAGTGAGCTTGAAGAACGTAAGAAAAAGGGAGAAGAAAGTCTAACCATCAAACACATCAATGGAGTTCCAAACATTGTGAAAGGTTCTTCAAAAAACGAGTAAAGTCTGAAACGATGTCGAAATTAATAATATCTACTTCCAGAATGTTAATGGACTGAGAAGTAAATTAAATCAGTTGAAGCTTTCTATAGTAACCCATGATTATGATATAATTGTTTTAGTGGAAACCAACTTAATACCTGAGATAAGTGATGCTGAGCTGGGTCTCACTGACTTTGCTGTTTATCGATGTGACCGATCTGAAGGGACTTCCCAAAAGCTGAGTGGTGGTGGAGTTCTTGTTGCCATAAGTAATAGATTGGTTAGCAGGGAGCTTTTCCCCCCAATACAGTCTGTTGAATGTGTTTTTACGCTTATAGAATTATCAAATTCCTATCTGCTCCTCAGTGCTGTGTATCTTCCTCCAAACAAGCCTGTTAATCAAAATCTCCAGTTTTGTTCTGCATGTGAAGAAATTATGCTTTCAAGTGGTTCTAATGGTCCCATTCTTCTGGTTGGGGATTTCAACTTACCTGATACTATATGGGATGATACCGACAATACTATATTTGATCCAAATTCTGTTCCCATTCTCAATTTAGCTCAACTTTTTGAACTTCAGCAATTTAATGGCATCAAAAACGACCGTGGAGTTTTACTGGATCTCGTTTTCTCATCTTTGGAGCATGTTGAGGTTACTCAGGCCTTGGATCCTTTGGTTCCGGTTGAATCACATCACCCTTCCCTTGAGATTGAAATTAAATGCCCGGGTAGATTACGGTCAAGAAACATAACATACAAGCTATACTTCAACAAGAGCAACAAAGAAGAAATATTTGTGGTGCCACTAAACTGTCTAACACAATAACCATGTGTTCTGTATTTACTTTAATCATTTGTTTATTTTTTTGTTATCCTAGCAACCTAGGTAACAACAGTTTTAACAACAGTTTTTCTGATTTGAATCTAGTGGATTACACTACTTAACTATTCTCTGTAAATTAAATGACCTTTTACTAGAATGATTCGTTTTAGTGCGTCTATCCGCTAGAAATGGTGACCCCGACTAACAAGTAAATTATTTCAAACTAAATTGATGTTTTTCCTGCATTAAATTTCAACCTTCTACCAAAACTTCATTTATTTTTCACCTTTCCCCAAATTATCGTTTTACGCCATGGACCAAGAACTTTTGGAGCGCCTAGCTCAATTAGAGAGTGAGAATGCCAAC